AGTTTGCAGTGTTGATTGCAGATGCCAGCACCAGGTTCTGGCTCTTTAGATTTCATCCCTCCCAGGATGGCTGAATATTTTTCTTCCCACCAGATGGCAGTGTGGGTGTGTGCTCAAGATCCTGAAGAATGTTGAGAAATGCCCCACTGAGGCTCTGTGCAAACAGACATTGGCTCCTAAATCTTAGATCAGTCTTGGAGGTTTGTTCTATAATTTTATATACTATTCTCGTGCTCATGTTCCAAGTCATTCATACAATACACATGCATTCATAATAATCTAAAGACATTACCATTGAAGCAATGGATTATTTCATATTTCTTAGTGTACTTAATAGAAACTGCTCAACCTTACAGCAGCCGGTGTGACATTTCCAGCATGCAGAAAGGACCCTACACAGCCTTCAGTGTGATCTTCATGTGAGAGATCACATCCTACCCCAACCTAGCTCAACTAGAAGAAGAGACAGATGTTTACACAAAGTGGACCACCTGTGCTGTGTGTGGGTACGCAGCCAGATGGAATTACAACTACATCTGGAGTAAAGTGCAAACATCTCCAATGAATTTTAAAACTAGCACTGGAGACTGGGGAGGTAAAGATGAATCCCATGCAGTAGGCCATCATCTACCCTATGCTGCACTGTTCTTTCCTTATTTTCACTCATGCTACATTTTGTGAGAATATTTTTCTAAATTATAGACACCTAAAGAAAGAAAACAATCAGAGTCAAAAAAAGTTAAGTGAAAATTTCAGCACTTAATTGATACATATTTCCTGTGCTATGTTACTGGGTTCACCACAATGATTTTGCTACAAAGGAGTTCATGAAAGTAAACTCAAACATGGAACAAGAAATAAGAAAATATGAGTTATTTCTAAGGGTTTTAGCTCTTTAATATTCTTGCTGATAAGGTCCAACTACTACAAGTCGATTTGCAGTTTATAATCATGTGAGCCATAGTAAACCTCTCTCTCTCTCTCTCTCTCTCTCTCTCTCTCTCTCTCTCTCTCTCTCTTTCTGTGGTCAACAAGGATTGAACTCAGGACCTTTCACTTGCCAGGCAAGCACTTATTCTACTGAGCTATACCCCCAGCTCCATAAGCCTCTTTCAAATGGGGACCTTGCTGAGTGTCTCCCTGGGAATAAGCAGAGGCCGCAAGGACAACAGGAAGCATTAGCCTATAATGTGAGCAAAAGGTTTCCAGGAAAGAACCAAAGACCTACTGAGCATGGGCCAAGACTCCTGCCTCTCTTCTCTTCCTGGGGACATGTATTAGCTCTGGCCTGAGCTGGCAACATCACTGTGTTTACTGAGTAAAAGTTTTTAAACCCTGCAATAAAGAGATGAAATTGGGGAAAGTGCCATGGACATTTCCAGAATTAGCAGATATGGAAACTGCATCCTACTGGGAACCACCAGAGGAGCAAAGTAATTGTGGAGATAACCTAAACTTCAGAAATGGAGAATGATGAACTTTGAGGACACACTCTTGGGTCCCACTGGAAGGCTATAGTTCTGGGATTCGGTAAGGCTTTTAAGAAGACAGAGCCTGATAGGTAATGTGTGGCCAACAGGAGGAGCAATCTGTATGAAATCAAACCCATGTAAAGTGTCTATCTCATCTGCTACCCTTGTTAAGTACTAGCCTTGGTAGTGGGAACATTTGCATAGGAATCTATGCCCTGACCAGAAATAAAACAGGAGGGCAAATGTATCGTAATCCCCATCTCAGTAGCTTGGGGCCTGAGGACTCAGCATTGGGACATCTCCAACATGGCCTGGGATGAGCTCCTCTTCACCATCATCACTCTCTTCACAGGTAACTGCCTCCCTAGAGACCACTGCTTTCCAAAGTCAAACAGCAGCCCTGTCCTCTCCTATAGCAATTCTCCTGTCTCTGAACTGGATACTTAATGAAGATCTGTGTTTCCAGGGTCCCTCGCCCAGCCTACGCTGACTCAGCTGCCCTCTGCATCTGCCTCCCTGGGACAGACAGCCAAACTCACCTGCATCCTCAGCAGTGGTTACAGTAATTATCAAGTGAACTGGTACCAGCAGAGCCAGGAGAAAAGCCCTCGATTTGTGCTGCGAGTGGGTACCAGTGGTATTGTGGGATCCAAGGGCGATGGAATCCCTGATCGATTCTCAGGATCAGGCTCTGGCTTGGATCGGTACTTGACCATCCAGAACGTCCAGGAAGAAGATGAGACTGTCTACTACTGTGGTGTAAACCATGGCAGTGGGAGTAGCTTTGTGTAACCCACACTGACTCAGCCAGAGGGGAAGTGAGACAAAAACCTATGACTGATCTATCCTGAGCTTGCTCCCTTCCCCTCTATCCTCACTCATATATCAGAGATAGACTCAGCACCCTGCTTGAGAAATCCTTTCTTTCCAGATATCAGAACTGGAGTTAGAGTGACCTGAGAAAGTCTTGCCTTGTCCACTGGAAATAATAGACTCTCCATTGCGGCAATAGCTTGCTCCTGGTAAACTAGCAGCAAGGGCAATAAAACATTTAATGAGGAGCCAAGGTTACCCTGAAGTCCAGTGACACCAGCTCTGTGTACCAACATGATTGCTCTTATGCCTTAAACTCATATATTTTGCCTAGATTTTTGTGAGTTTCCCTAAAATAAATCACTAACCTTAAAACCTACTCTCAGTCCCACTCCCCTTTAGAAATTTGTTATACTCACTCATTTGTCAACCTGCTCATAGAATAAAATCTAGCATCCCCACAGTGTAAGTCTCGAGGTGATTCTTCATGCACCTTTTTACAACAGCTAATTTGTAATTTTAATTACATGGTTCACTAGGTACAAACATTTTCTCAGAATTATTTGATATATTTGAGTTTGTGCAGGGAAATATGTAGTCATTTTCTCTCACCAGTGTCTTGAAGGATTCTTATTTTATAGATGGTAGAGTTATTCAGAGGAGCTCTCACAGTTTAATATGTGTCCCTATCCTTTCCTCCCTTTTGCCTATATTTAACACTGTGATTGTCTTAGTCATTTTTTTCATTATTAAGACAAAATACTAAAACCCATATTATACTTAAAAAAGAGGTTTACTTTGGCTCACATGTTTTAAAACAGTCAAGCCATAGTTAACAGATTCCAAGGCAGAAGAACTTGATGGAAGAAGCATCTGACAGAAAAGATGCTCACTTCAGAGAGGCCAGAAGGCTGCAAAAGGGAAGAAAGAAGATGAGAGTAAGATTTACTTTCAAAGTCATGCCCCAGTGAGCTACTTATAAAGAGGCTCCACATTCTCATAGCACACCCAGCAGCTGAACTTATTAGTAGATGAATCCACTGATAAATACAGCACCCTCATGACCTAGTCTCCTCCTAAAAGACCCATCTCTGAGAACATGAGAGTTTAGTGAGCTAGTCCAGATCTAATTCATATCAGTGTTCTTTCCACAGAAGGCTAGCACGGGTCATTTCCCT